GCAACGCTGTTAGCGTTTAGAGGATTTGACAACGCCTAGATGGAATGCCTGCTGTGACAACTAAGCTATAGCTTCAAGTTTCTCCTCTACACACTCGGACCCTTGGATAGGGGCCGACGCTTGTTCGGCACCCAGGGACCCTTGGAAGTGACTACGAGAAGAGTGTTGGCAGTGTTAGAAAGGCGATTCAAGACTAACAATTGTCGCTGTCAGATTTGAGTGGATATGGCATTTCACCGCCAGATATGCATCGATATGGCATTTTGCCATCACATATGCACGATTATGGCATTTCGTCGTGAGATATGCACGGATATGGCATTTTGCCGTCAGATTTGCGCGGCTATGGCAATTTGCCGTCAGATATGCGCAGATATGGCATTCCGCCAACAGATTTACGCGGATTTGGCATTTCGCCGTTAGATCTGGCATTTCGCTATCATATTTGATGGCAGGAGGGTGGGGGGGGGGGGGGGGGGGGGGGAGGGGGGGGGGGGGGGGGGGGGTGGTGGACGGGTGCCACGATTGAGTTTTATTGGAAACCAATGTCAATGTTAACTCATGTATTTTCAATGTTAACTCGGGAATGGTGTGGGACTGAAATGAAATGAGCCTAGAAAACCAACACGAACATGTTCGCCCCAAACATGTTCATGTTCGGGCCAAACACCTCTGTGTTCTCCTTCAAAGGCGAACATCGAACACCCTTTTTCGTTGTAGGTGTTCGGCCGAACACGAACACGTTCAGTTCTCCAAACATGAGTGTTCGACCTCGGGCTGAACCCCTTGCTCAACCCTTTGCTGAACTATAAACAAACGACAAGTGAGGCAGAGGAAAAACTGATGGAAAGCGCACAAATCTGGAGAGCGTAACAAGAGATTAAGTCCGCCGAATTTGACGGAACATTGCGCGCAGCTCACGTAACCTTAAACTATGAGCAGGTACGCGTTGGAAAGTTCTTAATCTCTACTTTCCACAATGGTAACGCATACCTTCAACCAAGATGTAGGCCGATCGCTATTGCGATTTAAGTGCGACGGGGTATTCTGGCGGAATTGTCAGAATCCCAACCACTAGACCATTCGGATAAAAGGGCTTGTTAAGTAGCGGGTCAGTGCGCCCATAACCCCCCAGGCCAACATGCCTGTAACCTTTCCCTAGGATCAATCGGGGATCACCAGTGGACCTCTGACACCCCCCCGCACTGGGATGCCCGAAGTGCACACACTGGGATTCGAACCCGAGACCTTCGCTCTGATACCATGTCAGAATCCCAACCACTAGACCATTGGGATAAAAGGGCTTGTTAAGTAGCGGGTCAGTGCGCCCATAACCCCCCAGGCCAACATGCCTGTAACCCTTCCCTAGGATCAATCGGGGATCACCAGTGGACCTCTGACAGGAATCAATAGGCAGCCATGGATTAAATCAAGAAAGTAGCTTTGGCAAGAGTTCAGATCTGAAAAGTGACGAGTTGTTCAAACCCTACCAACCCAACCCTCGCCCTACAACAATCCCCAAGAACCCAAAGTGCTAACCACCACATTTTGCCCAAACCCTTAGCCCACAACCAGCTAGAGCAAAATACCACAACCACCTACACAATCAACACTCCCCCTTGCTCGTGCTGGAGGTGGCTGAACACCACTGGGCAAAATCCTTCACTTCACTCCCCCTTGCCCAGGGAGGGGCGCCATCCACAGCATGAGGTCGTCAAGGCAGAGAAGCACCAGTCCTCCCACATCCTGCTCAGGTACCATGCCGACATGGGGCTGCATCCCCATCAAGGACATGCACACACCATGCCGCTCATAAGGGAGGGGTTTGGTGAGTATATATGCTGCTTAACGGTTGGTGGGGCACCACCGGAGGATCACCTCGCTGCACGCCACCATCTCCCTGATGAAATGCCACCGAACCTGCATGTGCTTGGTGCGGCCATGCAAGCATGCATTCTGTGCGAGATCAATTCCAGCCCGCAACAAGTCTAACCACCACATTTTGCCCAAACCCTTAGCCCACAACCAGCTAGAGCAAAATACCACAACCACCTACACAATCAACAAAAACAAGCATACCACTTGCTGAACCAAGGTATAGATTTCATTTACTTTCTTTTGGATTGCGGATGCAAAGAAGGTACGACGCAGATCCACGAGCATAACATCACTCTAAACCACCACGATCTCAATACCGCTCCTTCAAATTTCGTTTCTCTTGGAGGCTGCTAACCTTCATACACTCTAAACACTGGAGGAGCAGGCTTCTCAAGGGTCGAGTTGGTAACAAGGCTGGACCGTGGCGTTTTCTCACGTGCAAGCGAGCTAAGCAAAAAATCAGGGCCCGTTCTAGTATCAGCCTAGTAGTGGGTAGCTAGAGCAATGGTGACAGTGAGGTGCAGCACGGGGGTGGGTGGGGTTAAGGCTTGACGACGATGGACCTTTGACGATCAAGAAGGTCCTACTGATAGATGGTTGCCTAGTATGCACGGCAACCATGAGTCGCTGCTATCTTTGCTCTGCTGTTTGATGTAATGTGTAGCTGCGGTAGCCTGGGTACTGGTCGAGCCCTAGGATGCTGTCAAGGGCTCCCTAAACGACCAATCAGCAAATGGATTAAGTATGCGTTGGTGCCAACGAGGGGATAACCGCACCGCAACACGGCGTCGCGGTCCAAAACTTGAACGTTGTCACTCTAATAGCGTAATTGGCGGTACAAATCTCAAATTCCAGCACTCATCACAGCTGTCGGCGCAGATCTCGCATAGTAAAAATCAGAGTTGGTTCGCATTTGAAGTAAGATGGATCAGAGAACACTCTCAAAGTAACAAAATCTGAAATATCATAGAAGGCTTAAAATATGCTGAAGTTTCAGAATCCAATAAAAAGGGCTGAAATATATGAGTTTTTCAACATAAATCAGAGAATTTTCTCTAACTTATGGGGGGGCTTACTCAACAAGCATTCTTCATGACGTGGCGTCCCGAACAATGATTGCTGAACGAGTAAACTTTGGAACGTTCATCTGTCAATGGGAGTTGTGGAAGGCCCCGTCCTAGCTTGGGCAGAGCCGACCTCGTAGTCGGGTGTACGGGGGAGTGCAGCCGACCTGCAGCAATGGGCGAGCTGGTCGACGGGTCTGGTCGACCTGCACGGGGGCCACTGCAAGGGCGCCGACTTCGAGTGATCGACCTGGCAAGGTTGACTTCGGAGGCGTCGACATCGGTGACGCCGACCAGGGGAAGCCGACCGGGTGTGGTCGGCTAACAGGTGTGCTGGTCGACCTGGAGCTGGTCGACCAGAAGTGTCATCAACTTGGAGCTGGCCGACCAGGGGAGAGGTCGACCTAGTGAGGTCGACTAGAGGTGGTCGTCGAACTGGGTGGTCGACGGGCACGTGAAGGAGGCGCTGGTCAACCAGGCATGGTTGCCTGGTCAACCGGGATACCCGGGCGACGTGTGCGAAGGTCGCCGGGGTGACTATTGCGAGGCCGACCTTGGAAGTGGTATTCCGAGGTCGATGTGGTTGGTGGGCGCAGTCGCTGGCGTGGAGTTTGCCAGGCGTCTGCGCTGTGCTCGTGACGAGGAGTGGCGCACCAACCAGCTGCGCGCACCTGCGAGGCAGGTGCTTTGTTGTCCTGCGGGTGCAACGCTATGCAGCCGACTTACTGCGGCGTTGGCACACTGTGGACTTGCAACGTGGGCAAGCCGCGACTTTGCTCTGCTGGAGCGCGGTCGACCAAGTCGTGCTGGCACGCGGTCGATCGTGCTGCGCTAGAAGTCGACCAACAGCTTTGCTTGGTCTGATGTAGTCTTGCATGCCAATGTTGTTGCTATCATTCTGAATCATTGTTCTCGACTTTTGCTAGTAAAACTCTTGCAGTTTTGCCCTGTAAAGCTTCCGAGGGGTATAAAACATTTCTTCTATCCGGGCAATGATGTAACTAAAAAAACCTTGTAGTTGTGTGTAGTAAATTCTGTAAGGTAGTTCGAAACAACTACCATATACCTACCCACACTCATGTCTCTCAGCTAAAAGCTTAATGTGCTATAGTATCGAGAACTCGAGAAAGTAGCTTCTTATATATGTACCATGTAACATGAATACATAAGGCGTAATAAATAGATGTATCTTGCTTTCTTCAGGTACCTGAATTTCCAAGCGCCCCTTCCGCATATCGAGAATATACCCCTTACCTATTTTCATCATGAAATGCAACAACATAAACTTTTTGTTATCGAAGTATCCATCCTTGAGCAACACCAGATTGTCCCTTGCATTGGTCATCTCCAAGTTATAAAAATTAGGTCCGTAGTCAGTACTTCTGCCAGTTACCACCACCTAAAACCTTACTCCAGTAGCTGGTCGCGTTTGATAGAAACTTCCGAGCAAGAGGCCAAGCGTACATGCCTTTCCCACGAAAAATTACAGATTTTAAATTCAGGGCTTGCATGTCCACCTTAATAGCTGCACTCAGCTCCTTTGTTCCCATCACCTCATTCCTGATAGCAAGCAGCTCGTTGGCAATGCCAGCCATGCTTGGGCGATATGCACCGCGCTCCACAGTGCAGCTGAGAGCCAGCTTGGCGAGGCATAGCACAGCATAATCAGGGGCGTCCATGCTCAGGTCCTTGAGGCTGGTTTGGGTGTCGGAGGAGATGCACGCCTCCACCTGAGGGAGTGGTAAAGGTGGGGAAGGAAATAGAGAAGAAGTATGGTTTGACATCATGAAAGGGACACTTGAAGGTTGACCCAGCATGGCTTTGGTTGAGGGAAAGTAACGGTCCAAAAGGCAGTAGCAAGATTGGCAAGGAGAGTAAGAATATACAAGAATAATACGGAAAAGAAGACACAACAATCACACGGCATATATTGCGTTAAGACAGACAGGGTAGAAAAAAAATGCATCAGGATTGATGTATATAGACACAGTGCAAGCAGCACCTGCATGCCAACAGATTTGCCGCTATGGTTGCATGCCACAAAACGATATCTCTTACCCATGAAAGGATGTGATCACACTCTCCATCACCCACATGGAGTGGGCGGCTCCGTTTTGTGAGGACCACAAGCATGAGCACACCGAAGCTGCAAGTAAAAGGGCAAAAGCAGCACAGTCGGGTTAAAATGTTTCATACTTGAGGAAACCTAGTGTTGGGCTGAAATGTTTTCTACTGGGGAAAACCTAATGTTGACAATAATTGCTAACCTACTGCATAGGTTTACGTTACCAGTAGACATCATAACCTGCTCACCTATAGACGTCGGTGGCGCTAGTTGCCTTTGATGTGTGGAAGTAGATGGGATCCACATAGCCCGGTGTTCCCATCACTCGAGTTGTGCCCACTGTGCTGCCCTCCTCCTCCCTCACAAGTCCAAAGTCCGCAATCTTGGCCTGATGGATGGTATAATAAACGCAATAACCAGCGCAAGCATAATCACGGAGAAACATGAAAAGGTATTACTATTTAGGTGAAACAAACTTAGAATTGTTTGCTCCCTGAAAAAGGCGTGTCGTCTCCTCAACTCCTGTCCACATAAAACCCATACTACACTGTCAAATTTAGACTTATGGTATTACGGGTTTTTTACAACACATCCAAAACCAAAACCAGCATGTACCCCGTGGCATTCTTGCGCTACAATGCTTGACAATAACAAGGAAAGTAGTTCTCCTTAATAATTAGTCACTCAGCTCTGTGTGTCATTCAACCCAGTTCAATTGAATCACTTCGCGCGTCCAAGACGAACTTGCCTGCATCTTTGCCCCAAGGAGTATGTTGGCGGGTTTGATGTCGCGATGCACGAGGCCAAAGCTGTGAAGGTACTCCAAACCACGTGCTGCACCAATGAGGATGTCCAGCTGCTGCTTCAAGGTGAGGCAAGAGGGCGCTTCTGCAGGATGAGGGAAACAGTGTTAGCTTCAATCTGTCACAGAGGAAGCAAAAGGAGAAGATTGCGAGTAAAGTATTCAATACCTGAACTGATCCACTTTTCAAGGTCACCATTCGGAAGAAACTCGTAGATCAGGATTTGCTCTGGCCGAGTCCGCATGTCCCCTCCAACAGCAAACCCCAGCAGCCGCACGATATGGGGATGGTTCTTGTCGGCCATTTGTCGCACCTGCGAAAAGAACAAATATTGAGAGCTTGAGTCAGAAACCTCCTAAACAGCTCGACTGAGTTGATCATGTGTGTATCAAGGATTGGATGGGTCGCATGCAACAAGTTACCTGCATCCCGCGAGCACCATGGTGAGAGCATGTGGGTCTATGATGGATCTTACCTCCCGCTGAAAGTCAGCTTGCAGGAGCTTGGCTCGCTTGACGGCCCACAGGGTGGTGCCATCGCGCGGAGACACGCCCTTATGCACGTCACCAAAGGAGCCCGACCTCAGCTGGTTTTCACTCGCCCAGTTGCTGGTGGCTGTGAGCACTTCCTCCAGGGAGTACTCCGTGCAGTGCGACGCCGCCACACTGCCCGCCAGACCTGCTCGTGCGATGAGCAAAAAAAAGCACATGATGTAAACATGAAGCGCACTTGGCATTGTTGTAATGTCATTCCAGAAGTGCAAACGACGAGAGAAAAGATATGAAGTATGGCATTACGAGACACCCAAGTGCTAAAATGCTTGTGAGTAGGCTACTGAACTTGCACCGAACACGAAACATTGTTGGATTTCACAAGACATTGACGTAACGTAGATTCACACGAACATGTTCGTTTTTTACGCAGCTCAGCCACCCACGACACACCAAACACGAACATCTTTGGGCGAACACGAACATGTTTGGGAAAACATGAACATGTTTGAATCGAACATAAAGGGCCACAAATCAAATACATCTGTTCGGTTCGCCCTTCTGCTCAAGCCTAACAGCACCTACTGCAAGCCCTATCTTACGTGTGACTTGGACCAGTTTCCTCCCTCCTCCTCCTCCATCATGCACCACTCCATCCTCTATCACCACCCCCACCCCCGTCCTCCCTGTGTCCTCTACAATAACAGTGGTTGCTGTACTTAAAATTCACAGAAGACTAACAAATCCACAGTTTTGTTTATACCCTCTTGCTACCTAGTATCTCATTCCACATACAGGCCGTTGAAAGGGAACCAAATACGATGGAGAAGAGAGGGAGGGCTTAGGGAGAGTTGATCATTACCATCAACAGCCCATGGTAGTACATCCTTGCTCTCTTTAACTGCTGTAGTTGCTCCTTCTGCTGCATCTCTCTTGTAGGCCCTCCACCATATCAGCACACCAACCAGCAGCAGCATAACAGAAACCACAGCCACGGCAATGCCAGTGACGGCTGCTCCTGATAGGCCGCCAGGCTGGAAGGTGGATGTTGCAGGTGTGGGTAATACTGAAGAGGCAGCGGGGGGAAATGAGCTCCCTGCCGATAGGGAGGGGGGCGCTGGAGGAGGCAAGGGAAGGGATGGACATGGGATAGGAACGGATATAGAAAGAGAGCAAGGCACTGGGGAGCGCAGCTAGACATTGGGCTGGCGCGCTATTAGAATGTTGAAGCTTCCAGTTGACTTGTGCCCTCATGCGTGAGGAGGAAATGGGGGATGGTGATGATGCCCAGTGCTAAATTGGAATATACGTGTACAGCCTATAAACACTATACAGTTAGGGCCCCGATCTGTTGTACGTTTGTCTGGTGGAGAAAAACTTTTCCTGTGCAGGGGGATAATTTCTCACAGGAGCAGGATATTACTAGGACCCGCCTTCTCATTGCCTTGAGCCCCCCATGTGCGAGGATGAAGAGGTGGAATAGACATCGACCCTAGTGGGAGTAGTGGGGTGGAATTCCAATGGAGAGGGATGAAAAATAGAATGTTTCTATGGCGTGGCTGGTAAGTTGAAAAAGGTTTGCTGGGGTTCGGTTTTGACGGGTTGGAGTTTGTAGATGGGATGGGTTTCCGAACAGTACCATCCATCAATCATGATTTCCTTGGCAGGAAACGTCTAAGTCAGATCCCGACCTCCTAGAATCTAGGGAAAATTAGTCATCAACAAAAACACACCATTTTCATATTCATAATTTTACTTCCGAGCAGCCTAGAAATACTTCAGTGGGTATAGGCATTACGCTAGTGTACATACGCTACTCTTTCAAGGGGGTGAGGGGATATTCTAACGTAGGCTCAGTGTAAGGGTGTGTGGAACACACGGGATGCACGCGGGAAGCATAAAAAAAAAAAAAAAAAATCACGGTCTGTCTCACATGCTGCTGCCATGCCACAGGTGGTGCAGAAGGAGAGGCAATTGCGGCAAAAAGCACTTTGAGGGTTTTGCTCAACCACGCATTGGGTGAAGTCGGGAGGGCATGTGGCTGTGGTGAACGTCAGGTTCCTGCACGTGCAAAGGGAAAATGCAGTCCAGAATCAGTCATCAATTGCACTCATGATCATCCAATTATCGCGAGATAAAATGTTGCATTCCAGAATTACTAAGCTAACACTGGGTGTCCAGTAGTTGAGTACTTCGTTGTTTCACCCATTGCTGCAAGCAAAACGACACAAAATAATTGCAGCATGTCGCAATCTTATATTTTATACAACATTCATGGTCTAGATTAGAAGGTGTAGTAATGCCATCCAACCCTAACATTCGCGCTTTTGACGTCGAGGGAGTTTTGAGATGTCCTCGTCGAACCCCGCGCAGATCGACAAGGACATTTTTGAACCCTCGAACTGTTCGAGCTCGAGGGTAGAAGGCCGAACCCAAAAAGTTCGGCCAATCTTGTTCTTGTGTTTTGCCAAGGTTTCTCACGAGCGCTCATGAATTTTCACGTACAATCATTAATACACTTGTGGGATTCCCATTCTCCAGATGTAAAACGGACTCTACTGCACAGTGGTGTACGCTAAGGAGCGCGACCTTGTAGCAAAATATACTGCTCGTCAAGTCAGCTCAACTTCGGTTAAACAACCGAAATCGCGAGCACCCCCTAATGCAATGCAGCACGGCCGAGATATTTCTCGGTCGTGAAACCCAAGACGATCGTCGACGCGATCGTGCGTTATCCAGCGCGAGACAGGGCGATCACGTTGCCCTGTCCTGTTGCAATCGTGCGCACCGTGGACAGTCACAACAGTGCGCGACACAAGAGCGGGCCTTGTGGTGCCACACGCGAGTTCAGTACCCCAAGCGCGGGTATGGATGTTTGCACGCTTTTTGCTTGACCCCCCCCCCCCCCCCCCCCCCCCCCTTCCCCTTGTCCCTTTCATTAACACCCGGCCATGGCTCGCCATGAGGACTCGAAAAGGTTCATGAGTCTTTGTGAAGCTTGCTGAACGATCATGATCGTTCATGGAAATTCATGAAATTACATGAGCCCACCATGATTTATCATGTATCGTCATGAGCTCGCTTTAAAAATGACAAAAACAAATGCACACAAAAAATGCGAGATGAAATGCAGGTGGCTTGCTGACGTGCAAATTCAATGTTTGCACCCAACAGATACTTACAAGCTACGAAGATTCGTGAGACTACCAAGAGATGGAGGAATGCTGCCCACAAAGCTATTGACCGGAAGGTTCCTGATGGTAGAAGAACGAGGGAATGCATTTGGCAAGATCACTTACAAACCAAGTTGGCGCTGGAGGGAGAGGGGTTCGACGAAGGGGATGAGGAGGAGGCTGGTGCTGTGGCGGGAGGAGGACATGTTGCTTGTTGACTTGTTTATCCCTCTTTGACTAGACCTTGACTGCAGTACATTTCTGAACTTCACTCTTATCATTCATTGCATTGTGATATGGCCACAGCAGCAGCAGCCTAAGAACTATTGCTTGTAGTACACGAGAGTTGCTTGCATTGTATCTCTTGTCGTACGAAAACAATTATTTCCGCTTATTACCAATAGGAAAACCACACATTTCGCTATGGTCATTGTGGTGTTACTTTTCGGCAAGGGCAACCTGAATTGTTTACATGCCTTGAATGCCCATATTGACTATACTGAAAGTAACTCCGAAGGGGAACTGTTTGAGTTAGGGTGAGACACCTTAGTGTTCAACCTTGCCTCAAAATTGTTCAACCCTATACTTGAACAGGGAACACTAGGCATGAGCAGACTGTCAAGCCAAGCCGTCTCGGACCGAGCCTCAACGAGCACCCCTGGCAGCGGTGTCGCCGTCGAATTGGTTCCCGGCTCGTGGCTCGTCAAATGAGGCCGAGCCAGTCGAGCCACCGACGAGCCGTTATGGGCTCGATGACGAGCCGGCTCGTCCAAGTTGGAATGTTTTTAAATGTGCACCTAAATAAATTAATGACCAGTGCCGCCAAATTCCGACATATTCTTTCCATACTACCCCCTACGTACGTACGCGCCATCAGCTAAGATCTATATATATTCAAAAGAAACTAATCGTGGCTGCGAACTAACACTGCTGCACGTAATTGCACCATAAGTATTTACAGATGTAGTGGTTGACCCAGGATCTGGTGGTGGGGGATAGGTGCCTCTCACGTATTTGACATAGTGCAAGTAGATCTGACAAGCCGGGACGCGGCTCGTAAGGCCTAATCCGGCTCGTCGTTTATGCACGACCGAGCCATCAACTTGGAGATTGGCTCGTCGAGCTGGCAGAGCGTGCCGAGCCACGACTTCGAAATCGTCGGCTCAGCTCGTCAAATCGACGAGCCGAGCCACTTGAGCCGAGCTGCCGGCTTGGACATCTGCTCATGCCTAGGGAACAATAACCTTTAGGAAAAATGCTGGAGTCTGACTGTTCGGGTTCGGTACGACTTGACCAAGTGCTCGAAAACTGTTCGAGTCAAAAGTTCTCGGTTTGATCGTTGCTCATGTCTAGGAAAGACAATATTATCCGACAGACATAAAAAAATTGTGTATTAACACGTACAAGGAATATGCAATCATTGTAATAGATGTATGAAGTGAGGCATTCAAATTTAGCCCTTCCCCTGCAAGTGGCTTACTCACAATGTGGTCAAATTCTGAAGGTTGGCCAAAGTTGGTGGTATAGAGCCAGCCAAGCTGTTTCTTCCGAGATCTCTGCGTTTTGTCAAGAATAGGAAAATCGTGGAAACCCTTCAGTATGTTGAACACTCTAATCAACATCTTAATTTCTCGAAGGTGCCCTGCCATTGAGAACCGTACACCCAATCATGATGCCACCTCAATGACTTTTACGTGTTGATACTACACTCTGTGGCTGCATAACTCTCAAACCTTTGTTTAGGGGCTAGCTTCTGGCCACTGCTCCTAAAGAAGTAACCACGACGACGATTTATTGCTATGAATGCTGCTACTTAGCAGTGCACTTTCGAAAAACTAGGAGCGCACTGGTCCGTCTTACATACTAGCTTATATACTAGCAGGGCATTGTAGAAAAACTAAGGGCGCACTGGTCCGTGAGTATAAATACCTGCTGCCTTATGTTGCACCTCATCCTAAAAACCCTATTTGTGGTCCAGTTTCTTTAAGAAAACTGTGATAATCTAGGGACCCAGATCTGCTGTTAGAACGCCAAACCTAGTGTACGGTTCGTAAAATCCCGGGAAAGCATGTAAAGTTAGGTGGATAACACCGTACTAGTGTAGGAGAGATCTGGAGGTCAAATTGAGCTCGACTCGTGACGATCATACGGTTTGTCGCGGCTTAAGGCTAATTAGCGATCCTGACGAACTGCCAAACCGGGTCGTTAATGAACCAAACCATTTCGTAAACAAACCGGAATCCCGAAAATTCGGTTCGGTTCGGGAGAAAACGAACCGAACCGCACCGAGACGAACCACAGTTCGGCTCATGCCTAATGAACCTGTACCACATAGACAAACCTGCTTACTTGAAAGCATTTACACCTCCACCTAACTCCACCTGAAAAATTAGTCCATTCATGCTACAATGGAGCATGTGCCATGCGGTGACTGGCTTTGGCTGTGGCATACCAGAAGTACCACACTCTCACTTATAGGAAGCGAAGATTTGTCAGCCTGCTAATGGAGTCAGGGAATGCACCCGTCAAACTACAGTAGTCAAGATTCCTTATGGGGGGGCAGTGGAGAATGGTATGCATGAGACAAGGGTAGTGTTAAGACATGTCAGAGGCACATGTAGCACATACAAGTAGACCTTCGTGAGGGACGCATGGACAGTGCTCACATCACATGGGAGATTGATATTGGTTTTAAAAATACTAGATATGTTCTCCTCTTACTGTATCTACTAGATAGACATGAGCACAAGGGCGAACACCTGTTCGGTTCGCCTGGAACATGTTTGTGGCGAACCAAACACTTATATTTTTCAGCCTAAAGTGTTCGGGGCGAACATGTTTCTGTTCTCCCGAACATGTTCGTGTTCGATTCGCCGTGGCTTCGTACCGAGCCAAACACAAACACGTTCCTGTTCACGACAAATACAAACGTGTTCCCCGGTAAAGTCCCTTGATCCTGTGTTTAGGTAAACGGGACACACTAGTCGAGCTCATTCCTAAGCTCGACATTTGCCATACACCCCCTCCCAAGCACCTAGAATTTAATGAAATAATTAGGCGGGATCAAAATCTACTCTATGGTGTTTCATTTCCTCCACTCCCAAACGGGTATAGCTGTTGACTGCTATAACGTTATGCGGAAGCGATTAAACTGGAACTACAAGAAAAACTTAGCAACACTTAACATCACTTGCAGCCCTTCGAGTGTGAAAGCTTGTCACCTCCCAACCAAGGGCGTAGTAAACTCGCAAGTGAGTAGTTATGCCTTGCTTATACTTGTAGAACAAGTAAACTGGTCGAGCAGAGTTTAGGCAGCACCATGATCGTTTCTACTTTCGTCAATACGAAGTAGTAGAATTCAAGCTTGAAAAAACGCAAATGCATTAGAATAATTTCAACAAGTACAAGCACACATCAATATAGATTCTACGCACAGGCAAGGGCAAGCATAAAACAGTTGTTTAACCAGCTCGCAGGATTTCATCACGCTGTACTTGAAAACGGTAGCACAACTCCTTGAGCATTTGGCTATATCCTCCTCTTGTTAAACTGTACTTGTATCAGTTGCCCCTGCTAACTCAAATGTGTGCCCTCATGAGACTCGCATGTGGCTCCAATGTAGCTCCAATGTCTTCATGCGAGCTCATAGCTATATGACGGTTTTTACCATTTGAAAAACGGAGTAACCGATTTGTACCTGTGTCGAAATGATTCCGCAACGCGAAATGACTTTCGCGAGAAATTGCCATTCCCGTGAGTCAGCGCGGGATACAATTTTTCAACTGTAATCCCGAGCACCCCCTCGTGCCACACGCACGACCGAGATTTTTTCTCTGTCGTGCTGTACAGCGCGCCATGATCAAAATCATGCGCGTGTACAGTGCAGGACAGGGCCGAAATGGGCCCTATCCTGATGCGATCATGCAGTACAGTGCACGCGCAACAGAACACGTCACACGCCCGAACCCTGAGAGGCCACACGCGCGTATCAAGACCCACACGCGGTCCTGATTTCCGCACCCTTTAACTCGCGCGAAAGAGTCAAACAGCACCCCTTTGATAGTCAAACTATCGAGCCCCCTTGGTACATCATTCGCTCGCATGGAGCCCCAATGAGCCTCGCATGAAATATTCGAGGCAGATGGAACTTCAATGAGCCTCGCATAAATCATTCGAAACTCGCCCATATGAGCCTCGCATGAAATATTTCTCATGTGACTTTCATGGGAACTCATTTGAGTTTCATGAGGGCCTCATTTGAAACTTCATGGGAGTCTCATTTGAGCGCATCATGTGAGCCTCATTTGAGCGCATCATGTGAGCCTCATTTGAGCGCATCATGTGAGCCTCATTTGAGCGCTTCATGAGAACGGTGAAAACGAAACTCAAAATGCACAAACACAAAATGCAATTACGAATGAAAACGAAACACACAAAATGCAAGAACAAATGCGCACAGAACATCACAAAATAAAAGTGAAAATGCACACACACACAAAATGCAAAATGCGACGCAGGCGGCTGGTTGAAGTGCAAAATTAGATATTTGCACCCAACAATAGCCACACCACCATGGACGCCAAAATCCACCATCCCTACATCTTGTGACTACAATGAGGGCTGCCTACAAGCGAACAACGAACACCCCTTTTCGGTGAGGTGTTCAGCCGAACACAAACATGTTCGTGCTCGCCTTTTGCTCATCCCTACCAAGACCCAACAAAAGGCCTACAAGCCCTGCCGAGTCGGAAGTTTCCTACCTGTGACCTGACCCAGCTTTTAAAACGGACTGTCTCAACTCCAGCAAGATAAGCTCGTTACTCAGAAGTATGTCAGCATGCCATCAAGAATGACACTCACAAGTATGCCAGCATGCCATCAAGAATGATACTCACAAGTATGTCAGCATGCCATCAAGAATGATACTCACAAGTATGTCAGCATGCCATCAAGAATGATACTCACAAGCATGTCAGCATGCCATCAAGAATGATACTCACAAGCATGTCAGCATGCCATCAAGAATGATACTCACAAGCATGTCAGCATGCCATCAAGAATGATACTCACAAGTATGTCAGCATGCCATCCAGAATGATACTCACAAGTATGCCAGCATGCCATCAAGAATGATACTCACAAACATGTCAGCATGCCATCAAGAATGATACTCACAAGCATGTCAGCATGCCATCAAGAATGATACTCACAAGTATGTCAGCATGCCATCAAGAATGATACTCACAACACAAGTATGTCAGCATGCCATCAGGAATGATACTCACAAGTATGTCAGCATGCCATCAAGAATGATACTCACAAGTATGTCAGCATGCCATCAAGAATGATACTCACAAGTGTGTCAGCATGCTTATGTCCCCAATAAAGGTTGGAATGTTTCCAACCACGGCACTCATATATAGGTCACTGATGGGGTATTCGAAGGACAGAATGAGAATTAAGTTTTTTTAAGAGGGAAACAGAAGGGGATCAGAGAAGTACAATACAAAGTATTACCCTGTGCCGGCTTCTCCAAAGTGGCTGGTGATATCCAACTCAACAAGCCAGCCTTTAACCGCGTTTTACCTTGTGCTGGACCTTCACGCAGCAATGTGGACCGTGTGGCATGCAGTGTCGGCCACATCTTGCAACGTGGAGAGCCAGCCAAGCAATATGGCTTGAATAAGTCATACAGGGGCATGCCTACAAAACTCTCTTACGTGCTCGGAAACAGAACCAAAACTGATAAGGGGTGGGTGTGTCACTGTCAAGATGCGCTCGATGAGCCACCTGGTGTACGAGTCAAACCTGGACAGGTAGCTTTTGATGAGCTGCCTGCCCTAGCTCGGCAACTGGAGAAGAGCTTTGGTAATCAAAGCCCCGGAGCGGGGTGGCCCATCTTTCAAAATCCAGCCGAAGAAGCACCATAAAGTCTGAGATGGCTGGAAGTGGCCTGTTGGAATGGTGGTGCAGCCCGTATGCGCCAAGCTGCAGGCGATGAGTGCAACTTTTGGGCATAGGTGGCACTTTGAATTTACGTACAATACGTTTACGTACACCTCCCTATCCTTTCAACATGTTGCTTTCACAGGACCTGGTCCAGCCCGTCTCCAGCCGCGTCATGCACATGATGGGTGAGCCTGGCCAGTCAATATCAATGGGCCAAGGCCTTGGCTGGTGAAATCAAAAGGCTGGCCCAGTGACGGAGCTTGACCATGCCTACTTGCTTTCTAGCATGTGAAGCACAAGGATCAGCGCGCGTCCGACCTGGTTTAGAAAAACCAAAGTCGCCAAATTTATTCTTAGGAGTGTACGTAATGCTTTGAAAGATTCTTGTGCAGCTCATGGCTGACCAAATAGGCCCAAACCTCCAATGCACAGAAACTCTATTTGTCCTGGAACTGAGCAGTGAGGGTGTGACCGGCTGTGCTTTACGTGTCAACTCAATAAATCACTCCACTCACATGTGACGTAGCTTCGTGAGCTGACTCAAGGAATCAGGGATGCTGATCTGTAGTAGGGCGTCACTCAGGATCCTGAGGGGAGAACATTGAATTGGAGAAATGAGAGATCTCATGAGCCGTGGATATTGAAAGGGTGAAAGAGTTGCATTAGTTAAGTGAGAGAAGAATGAGATATTGCTGGTTGCAGTGACACTCCAGCTGGAGACTTTGTTCAGTTTACCTTTGTTGTGCAACAAGTATGTCCCAGAGGGTAGATTCTCACCTTTGGTCTTAGAGGTCGTAAGTTCAATTCTCAGTAGCTGCACTTTCCCTTATCATTATGCTCCACATTACATGTCCACACTCCACCACACTCCACCACAGTGAAGTGTGGTCACAATTGGCATTGCCACCTGTCCACTCATCCCACACTCACCTTGCTGGCCTCTATGGTGTGCCATATGCTGTCATGTGGGCTGTTGTTCCAGCCTGGCCCACATGTGCAACATGTGGTCTCACTTGCTAGCTTGGCAAGGTTGGCTAGCCTTGCCCTCAGCATTGAGGTGCTGCAGCTAGCCTCAAGAGTTCAGCCACATATATGTGGCTTCCCACTTCACAAGGAATCATCCTTGACAAGGACCTTGCTCTAGTAGTTAAGACTTGTACCATTTTCTTGCTAAGAATATTTCTTCTTCCTATCGTGCCCTAAGTTCACCGATCCATTTTCTTCATGCTATCAGAGCTAGGCTTCTAGCTTTGTGAACGTCGCACACTTGATGGCTCAAGTTGAGACGCCTCTCGGTCGGCACACCCTTCCTATCTTGGAACCGGATGGTTCCAAATTCATTCCATGGGAGAAAACGATCTGCTACATCTTCAATGTCCATGGGCTGATCTCCCTTCTTGGAGATCCCAAGGTTGCTGCCCGCCCTTCCATTTCCTCCTCCACAACCAGCAGTGGAGATGCTACTGAAGGCAACAATGGTGCAGCCCCTAAAACAGCCCACTCGATTGCGTCGCTGCCGGACGAAGAAATAGAGGAGCATGTGTACTATCTTCTCATGTCAGCCGTCCATCCTCAGCTCTCGCTCACACTTGCTCAAGCCAACACGACGAAAGACATGTGGGGATGCACCATGGCGCGGTTTGACTGCATGGGTAACCATGCATAAATGGCTCTCCTCCGAGATCTCATCACTACACGGATATACCCAACAATGAGTCTTCGCTCCTACTTCGATCGAGTTGGAAATCTTACGCACCAACTCAAATCTGCTGGCTTCGAGTAACCATCTTGGGTGGTGGTAATCTCCATCATTCTCAATCTTCCGGGCTCCTTCTAGACTCTCACAGAAACTATTTGCACCATGAAAGACATCAACTCTATGTCGGTTGAATGCCTGCAGTCACGTCTACTCGATGCCGATTGGGAGCGGTCACAATCTGGAACAAGCCGCAACATGGAAGGTGCATACAACCTCCATTCCCAGCCCTCCCACCCTATTCGCTCCGGTTCCCGCCAGTCCCCTACTTGTCGCTACTGCAAGAAAACCGGACACACCATTGACAAATGCTTCACGTTGAAGAAGAAAGAGGTCTCAGAAAGCTCTCGACGGGAAAAAAACTGTCATCCAGCCTTCGGCGCATGTGTCAACAAGCTCCTCCGCCGACATCCCTTCGACCTGCACAACACCTACTGCCCCATCAGCCCCTCAGTCCGTACCTGATTCCCGGTAAGTTGACATTGCTTTCAGCACCAGCCACCGCCCCATCTTCCCCACCTGGACTCCTCTCGTCGCTGCTGTCTTCATCTTCACCATCCTCCTCCTCCTCCTCCTCCTCCTCCTCCTCCTCCTCCTCCTCCTCCTCCTCCTCCTCCTCCTCCTCCTCCTCCTACTCCTCCTCCTCCTCCTCTTCCCTTATGGTGCTCCCTACGCATCAGCATTCACGGCCTCCTCATCAAACATGGTTCGGACTTCTTCTTGGCTGGTGGACACTGGCGCATCTTCCCATATATGCTCCGATCGCTCGCCGTTTTCATCTCTCCAGCAGCCAACTGATGATATTATCGTTCGTTTTGGTGGTGGAGAGACTTACAAGGTCTTGGGAGTCGGCACGGTGGTGGCTACTCTTCGATCACAAACCTCGGAAACCACCATTCAGCTAGACAACGTTTTGTTTCTCCCTTCATCGGTTCACAATCTGCTCTCAGTTCGTGCACTTGGAGCTGCCGAGATTGCCGTTTCCTTCCCCACTGCTGGGCGGGTTGAGCTCAAAACTGATGAGGCTCATATTGGTGAGGGCTTTACCATCGGTTCACAATCTGCTCTCAGTTCGTGCACTTGGAGCTGCCGAGATTGCCGTTTCCTTCCCCACTGCTGGGCGGGTTGAGCTCAAAACTGATGAGGCTCATATTGGCGAGGGCTTTACCCGCAACAATCTGTTTTATCTTCAGCTGCATCATGGGAGCAGTGCTGCCCCCCCCGTCAACCCAACGGCATGTCCAATCTCCACCACCACCTCCTCATAACTTTGGCATCGCCGTTTCGGTGATGGTGCCTTCGAAGGACCATCAAAGCGTTTCGCTCCGATGGTGCCTTGAAGTTCAATTCCGACGCCTTCATTTCATTCCTTAAAGCTCATGGCAATGCTCGACACCGCTCTACGCTGTACACACCTGAACAAAATGGAGTTGCTGAACGCGCCAATCAAAATATACTTGAGATGGTCCGTTCCATGCTTCATGACGCACACATGGACAAAAGATGGTGGGGTGAAGCCGCTCTCGCTGCTGCCTATCTCCGTAATCATGACATTAGTCGGGGTGGTTCAACTTCTAAGACTCCCATAGAACTATGGACCAGTGCACGTCCGGACGTATCACACCTCCGCATCTTTGGTTCACTCGTTTCAGTCCTCGTTCCTCCACAACGGCGCTCTAAGCTCGACGACCGAAGCACGGCCGGCATCATGGTTGGGTATGGTCATCTTGACGGCACCAAAGCATATCGCATCTATATCCCAACTCAGCACCGTGTCACACTTTCTCGTGACGTCATCTTCATGGAGCCCTCTTCGCCACCTTCCGATGACCCTCGCGAACCTCCATCGTCATCTCCACCACCCATATCATCCTCTCCGCCTCCTCCTCCACCCACTTCCCTCTCAGACCCAACCTCCCCTCCCTCTCGTTCACCTCCCATGCCCTCTTCCACCAGCCTTCTCCCACCATCTCCAAATCTGCCAGCACCAGCCACCTCTTCTCCTCCTTTATTTTCCAACTTTCCTCTGCCCGCGACACCGCAAGACTTCCGCCTTCCATCCCTCTCCTCTCCTTCTTCAGCTCGTCCTCCCCCTTGCACCTCTAGTTTCTCACCACCATCCCCTTCAGCTCCTTCCAATCCTTCACTTTTCTCACTGCTCAAGGTCTTACCCTCTCCTTCTGAACCCATTGACTTCACCCTTCCTCCTCTTTCCAAGACCTCCGCTAATGCCGCCCTTCATCATCATTACGAACCTCAAAACATTCACTTTTCTCACTGCTCAAGGTCTTACCCTCTCTTTCTGAACCCATTGACTTCAGCCTTCCTCCTCTATCCAAGACCTCCGCTAATGCCGCCCTTCATCATCATTACGAACCTCAAAACATTCATGAGGCCCGCACCGGCCCTGATGCTGCTGAATGGATCATGTCTGCTGATGCGGAACTCGCTGCCCTGCACGATAATGACACTTACAGCGTTGTTCCTCGACCACCCAAGTGCAAGCCGATTCCATGCAAATGGATTTTTTAAGGTCAAGGAGCATGCTGATGATTCTATTGAACGCCGCAACACCCGCCTTGTTGTCAAAGGTTTCAAACAACGCGATGGTGTTGATTTTCATGGCACCTTTGCTCCTACCGTCCGCTTCGCCACCCTCCGCCTCTTCCTCACCATTGCTACCACTTTCCACCTGGAAGTCCATCAGCTGGACATTTCCAACGCCTTCCTCAACGGCACGCTTGACGAAATTCTCTACACGATGCAACCTCCCGGTTATGAACTTCTGGCAGTCCATGGTGTTGAGCAAGTTTGTCTCTTGCACAAACCGTTGTACGGGCTGAAGCAAGCGCCGCGGTGCTGGTACCGCAAACTTCGTGAAGAGCTTGCTGCCTTTCACCTTTTTGCTGCCCGTGCGGGCCCCGACCTCTTCATTGCTCCTCCACAATCTCCTTATCGGCCTACAGTTGCATCCTACTTCATGCTTCTCGTCTATGTATGGTGACGACCTCATCATTCTTTCCTCCTCCTCTTCTGTTCTCTCCTCATTCAAGCGTGCCCTTTCATCTCGCTTCAAGCTTCGTGACCTCGGTCCTCTTTCCTACTACCTTGGCTTTCACATCACTCGTGATCGGACCTCCCGCACTCTCCACCTTCATCAATCCAAATTCATCACCTCCATCTTAGACACCTACTCATTCACTCCACTTAACCTTGCTGCCACCCCCATAGACACCAAGTTTCAGCCGCCCATGACTTCCTCCCCACATTCCTCCTCCTTTCCTTACACCTCTTTTGTCGGATCCATCATGTATGCCATGGTGGGTTCCCGTCCCGACCTCGCATATAGCGCTGGAGTTCTTGCTCGTCACCTTCATGATTGGTCTACTCCTCACGTCTCGGATGCCAAACGCGTTGCTCGCTACTTCAAAGGGACTACCTCACTCGGGCTTCTCCTTGGCGGCATTCCCAGCGCCCTTGAACTTCATGGGTGGTGTGACGCCTCTTGGGGACCGGAGGGAGAGCTCCGACGCTCCGTTACGTGCTACTTGTTCTTCCTCGGTCCGTCACTCATCTCTTGGCAGTCCAAACGTCAAGCTGTCGTCGCTACCTCTTCATGTGAAGCTGAATACTATTCTCTGGGCGCCGCGGTGCATGAGGCATTATGGCTTCGATCCCTCCTTACTGCACTTGGACTCCCCCCAACCCGCCCCACCCGCATCTCGTGTGACAACAACAGTGCCATAATTCTGGCCAAGGACGACGGCGTCTTTCATCCCAAGGCCAAGCACATCGACATCAAGCACCATTTCATTCGTGATCATGTCGCCGACCACTCCGTCACACTTCACTATGTTCCTACTCAAGACAACCTCGCTGACATTGGCACCAAGCCTTTGCCCCATGACCCTTCTTTTCGCATCCGTGGTCTTCGCGAACGTCGTCGGGGTCGCGATGGCGAAGGCGATTTTTGGGCTGGTATCCCGAAGTCGATGTGGCTCGTCAGGCGCAGACCACAGCCGACAGATGCACAGCGGTGCAAGTCGGGCCAATCGTCTGTGCGCACCTTCGAGTGAGCGTACTGCTATTATCTACGGGTGCAACGCTGGACAGCCGCTTTGCTGCAGCGTTGGCACGCGTCGACATGCTGCGTTGGCATGCCGCGTTTCTGCAGTGCTGGCGCGGCTCCTCTACGCAATGCTGGCAGGCGGTCGACCATGCTGTGCTGGCGGTCGACCAGCCTGGCTGCAGAGTTGCTAGGTTCCTGATGTAGTCATTCTTGCCATTGTTGTATCAATTCTTTCTGTATTCCCAACTTTGCTAGTGGAAACTTTTGTCAAATTCTCCTGTGAATGTGCAAGGGTTAAGCAGCGCAGGCAAAGCTACGATCACTCCTAGGAGTCATGACTTCCCCCATAGTCTAGCTCCTGATCGTTGCAGAGTGATTCTCCGCATGGTGCGGTGAGCGTGAAACGAACACGCGACCTTCAGATAGGAGCCGACTGTTGCACCTACTAAGTCGTTGTAGACCAACATCCCGGTGTAGACTATGACGCCTGTCCTGCGCTGCCGGCACCGTAGCGGATACGTTGGAGGCACGGTTGGATGATGCGAGAAGACGCAACGAGGCTGGCGAGTACGGGCCGACCCTCTCTTTGGAGATCGTCGACTTGGGCATGCGGGCGCAGTGGGCGATGGAACACCCTTCCCGACCTGTATCTCCTCGATCGGCACACAACGAAGAGGGCGTCGACGAGGAGGTCGACGGCGGTGTTCAAGTTGGCGGCAGCGAGGGCACGAAGAAAAGAGGTGTCATCAAGGTCGACGGTGGCGTCGACTGGAGTCAAGCGCGAGTGCAGCGGTCGACGACGGCTGCAGGCAGCTCGCATGTCGACGTCGTCGGAAGGCGTCGCTCTCCCCAACAAAGTAGTTGGAGGACTGCGTCGACGACGCATGTGACGGCAGGCGGGATCGCGCCGCCGTACGGCTACTTCAAGTTTTCGCCAGACAAGATCGCCGTGACCACGCCGCTGCAAGGTCGACGGGACCTCATTACGTGGAAGGAGGCTATCGAGCCTCAGCTGGAGATCGCCGGGCTGAAGGGTTTTGCCGATGGCATCGCGCCGATACCGCACGTGGACGAGGTCGAGCTACGCAAGGGATTTGCTCGAGCCGCTCACCTGCTCACCTTCATGGTCATCACGAGGTGCTGCTCGCCGATGGTGTTGATTGCGCTGAAGCCGTGTCGACTTTGACAGGACGCAAGGCCACCAGGCGTGGCGGTTCATCATCTCGACCTACCAGGTGACGGACGACTTGTACATCGGCCAGCTGGAGGAGCAGCTGACACACCTCCGGATGGGCGAGCAGGAGTCGGCGACGGACTACTGCAATCGTGCTCGACGACTCCTGGCCGTTATGCGGATGGCGGGCGTCGAATACGCGATGGCATCGTACATCACGTACGTCTTCAAGGGACTGCCAAGCAGCTTCAACCTCATGAAGAGGCTGATGGTGGTGCCCGGCACGCGTGAGTCACTCGACGAGGACTCCCTCACCAGCTACATCATCCAAGTTGAGGCGATGCAAGAAGCCGAACGTCCCACTGAGCTCCTTCCGCAGGCGAGCTACGCCGCCCCGATGAAGCAGAGTCGTCAGCTAGGGCAGCGCGGCAAACCAGGCCGAGGTGGTAGCGGAGGTGGGAGGTCAACGAAGGATGTCGACGAGAAGAAGTCGGCGCGGGACAAGGGCCGTGGAGGTGGTGGTTGACGGCGGGAGTGCTGGATCTGCGGCGACCCCGAGCATCTCTCTTTTGAGTGCCCCGACCGCGATGACAGCGACGAGGACGACAACAAGGGAGGCAGCGGACGGTCAACCAGTCGTCGCCCCCGTTGAGACGAGAAGCCGCGCAAGGAGAATCAGACGTCGAAGAAGGCGTCGTCGACGAAGGACGTCGCCAACTCCAGCGGCAAGGGTCGAGGCGACGAGGAGGCGTCGTGCTCGATGGTCAGCGTGGTGGAGCTGACAGTCTCGCTTGCGCCAGAAGCCCGGGAGGACGTCAAGGCAGTCGCGACCGCCATGCAAGCGAATCCGATGGCGGTGCTGCTCGACAACGGGTGCTCGCACCACCTCATGGGGACGAAGGAGGTCTTCGTCGACATGGCGCTGAGCGGCGATGAGACGCATGTGCCCGGCTTCAACGGGGCTCTGCAGACCGTCGAGGCCGCGGTACAGTCGCTCTGCAAGGGGAGGCCGGGAAGCGGGTCCTCATTCCTGACGCGCTCTACGTTCTGGGCGGCGAATCAGCAATGTCCCCGATTCTTACCGCTTCCAGCAGGTTTTGTTGTTCTGCCTCCTCTTCTTTCCCCCACTACCAAAGCTTACCCTCCCTCATCAGCTGATTGAGCGTATGTGCTTGGAGGCTGCACTTGGGCACAAACTTCCTGTAATAGTTCAGGAAGGCGAGGAGTGCCCGCGTTCCTGCCTTGTCTCCTGGGGCCCTAAGTTTGTCCAGCGCCTTCGCCTTCGCCTCCTGGATCGCCAGCCGACCTCCCCTCACCTCGAAGCCTAGGTACGCCACCATCTGAGGCTATTTTATTCTTCTCTGGGTGATACACATACCTACGTAACCCTTCCATGGGTGTTTGGGGCGAAGCAAACTTGCAAGGGCGAGTCAAGCTTGCCTTGCAACAAGTACAACAATACTTAACAGACTCAGGCGAGTATTATCCGCCTCAACTTGTTACTCTGACAAGGCTCTCCTTCAAGGCAAGAATCAGTTGCTCGCTCTTTGCTCTGTACAAAAGGCGAGAACAAGGTGTGGGCAGTTCAACGTGTTTGGATGTTATTGTTACGGTTCCTAGAATGTTGTTTGGGACAACACTGAAGGCCCCTTCTTGGATTAAAAAACACTGGTGTCTGGCCGAGGCCAGCGCGTTTCTCCGCGCAAAGAACACGCTCTGTAGCTCTGCGGTGGTAAAACATCTGCAGCTTTTGTTTCCCGTACAATGCTTGAACGCGGCAAATGAAGGAGCAGCAAAGAGCTGTTTGAAAGGTACGGTGTGCTCACAAACGTGTCAGGCTGGACAAGTTGCCAATGGTTGAAGGAAATGGTCCCTGTAGTTTTAGTCCGTTTAACTGCCTACAGGGGGGAACATTGGTTGAGATACACATTCCTCAGATGTGGGTTCTACGTAAGCATGCATATGGAAAAGGGTGTGAGTGACATTGCCACATGGAAGCACGGCAGGGAAGTAGGTAGTGAGGTCCTGTCTATTATAAAGGGGAAAGCTGGGAAACGCTGATGAGGAGATCGACGGTTGGATGGAAGGAGTGATGTGTAAGGTGAGAAAGGAAGGAGGGGTGGGAGGAGAGACAGAGTCAGGGATAAAGGGAGGCAGTGAGGGATGGAACGGGGGAAGAAGGTGGGTGAGCAAGGGAGGGAGAAGGACGGGGGAAAGGAGGTTGGGGATGGATCGAACGAGGCCATGATGATTTGCGCTGTACAGAATTACCAGCCATGCATGCTCGAGGGTCCACTTACATGGCTGTTATCATGCCCTGGGAATCGCACGTGACGTTCCTTGCCTTGCTGCAGTCCCCACCAACCACCCAGCCGTCAAATGTTCTGTTCCACGCCTTCTGACAGTCCAGCAGGACTTGCGCTGGCGGAAGGAGAGAAAGGCGGAAACGTGAAGAGAGGAGTGGAGTGAAAGCACGGGGAGAAGGGTGGGACGTGGAAGGGAGGATGCGGGGGTGGGGAGTGGGAGGTAAGGGGTTGGACGGTTCCACCTTGGCTCACCACAACCTCCACGTGACGCCGCTGGTTGCTGACGCCATAACTGAGGTATTCGCTGGAAAGGGATGGGGATTAGGCACGAGGAGGAGCAGGGAGCAGCAGCAAGGACTTTGAGGAAAGGTCCTGTTTCCGAAACTCTCACTGTGCTTCTAGGTTGCCTCCTCTCACGCACACCTCTTTTCTCCCGCCTCCCCTCTCCACCTGCGCTTCACCTGCTCACCTTTGCTTTCCAGCTCCATTCTCAAAACTCACTCCACAATCTCCGTCCTCATCCCACTGTCCGTCCCGCGTCCCGGCCCCCATTCCCACTCCGCGGCTACACCCCATATGTGTCACGACGAACTACGCAAATGGCTAAGGTTGAACTCTGGGAGTTAGTACCAACTATTCCTGGTCCCGAAATTTGCGTCACACCCTCGCAACTCTACCGCGCACAACCAGCGTCCGAACTTTCCGCGGAACCGACAGGGCGGGCAAACACCGCCACGCCAGCGGGCGCTTATCGAGGTACACACCCTGGGAGTCGGCCAAGGGAAAGCAGTCGACTCGCGCAACCCCGAGATACGTCACCAAGAGCAGCGCACCGAGGTGCAGAACTGCACGCTCCATCACGCAAGCCGCGGCTCGGTTCTTCTGTATATTGCTGATTTGGGTACTTGTAATGTAGTCTAGGGTTGGTTCTAGAGATGCATGAAACACGGCAAATGGCGGAATTGGAAAGGAAATCTAGGCCTCGTTCGTTTTCGTAACAGAACGGGTACGGGTGGGGTTTGGTTTGGTGCACCACATCCCGAACCTGACCAAATAAGAAACAAACCCAGAATAATCATCCGCCGGCCAGCTCCAGTTGTGAAATGAAAGGTTCATGAAACCCTCATCCACAAGCGAGAGAACATGCTACTACACATCGGCCCTGTTCGATAGCACTTTGGGCTCTCACGATGCAACCATTTGGGTTTTTAGTTGATCCCGCATTGTTACTGAAACTATGGCCCTGCTCGATAGCGAGGGTGACCATGCCCGAAAATCATTGAGGTGACCTTGTTGGTGTGGCGGGAAACGGTTTGCGACCCCATGCGATGTGAAAAAACTCCCGCCAGCGCGAACGACCCCCCTGCGACCCCCAAGGTTTCCCGCGCTACTGCAAAAACTTGGCAGGTATTTCAACGTGGTAGTTTGACCTCACAGCGCGCAGGAACAGTTACAACCGCCTAATGATTACAGGACCTGCCTAGTAAAACACCAGACCATTGTGGGGTCATTACCAATGTTGATTTTCAAAACAGTCGCCCCAGTGCCAGACCAATGGGGTATTTAGGGATAGTCTAAACGACAGGTTTCCCTAAGCCTAACTGCCCACATGAAGTGTAACAAAAAAACCAAATGGTTGCATCGTGAGGGCCCAAATTTGTGGGAGGAGCTGTGCGTTGTCGGGATATTTTTTTTGTTGTCATTAACATTTTTCCTGGCCTTTTTTCCCCCGGCCCAGTAACATCTGGGGGAACCCTCGACGAGGAACAGTTCCCTTCAATGGGCCGTTGAGGTGGTGGTTTTCGGCCATGTTGGTTGTTGTATTTGGTTGATTGAGCCGGCAGTGGGACGGTCGCAATAATTTTACTGCCGGCGCGGCTAAAACCACTTGCATTTTGTCGCGACGCTGAACCATTTGGGCGACAGAGCCAAACCAAATGGTTGCATCGAGGGGGCCCAAAGTGCTATCGAACAGGGCCTATACGCTAAAAGCGCAGCATTGTCACTTCTGGCGCACTGTTACTGCCCAGTTTTCGATCACAGCGCAGAGTTAGTGAGATTTTTACGCATTAAAGTTTTCATTGGTCACAATGTAGACGAACCGACAACTCCAATGGATTGACGACCATCGAACCGTTTGCACCTGAGTTTTGGGCAGACAGAAATATATTACCCTCTCAGATGGCATGCTGTTTAGGGAGCATCAACCCTAAACACCGGGCCGAAGTGTTTAGGGAGCATAAACCCTAACCTTTGGGCGAAAGTGTTAGGGTTGATGCCCTTTGCAACGGGTTTATATCTTTTTATGGCTGCCATCGAGGGAGGCATCAACCCTAAACACTATGCGAAAGGGTGTCTAGGTTTGATGCTCTCTCTATATGGGCTTGAAAAATGTTAAACACCTGACTGGGTTAAACTGTTTTCTCTTACACAGTAGGCTTGTCGTTTTCAGATATTTAGACCAATGAGTGTCGAACTGCGTAGAAATCACACTAACTTTGCGCTGTAAACGAAAAACGGGCAGTAATCCTGCCCCAGAGGCGATGGAACTGCACATTTGGCGTGAGTTTCGAAAACCGTGCTTTGTCAACTGAAAACCCCAACCATTTGGTTTGGCTCTGTCGCCCAAATGGTTCAGCGTCGCGACAAAATGCAAGTGGTAGGACAGCGCCGGCAGTGTAATCATTTTGGCCGACCCGAAGATGGCCGAGGTGGTCGAAAAGTTCCACCTCAACGGCCCTTTGAAGCGGACTGTTTCCAGCCGCGGGGTCTGCCCAGGGGTTCAACGGTCTGCGTAAAAACAAAAGCCCCACCCAAATGTTTGTGCTGAAAATGTATAGAGTATTCCAGATCGGTTCCAGCATTAGTTAGGTGTGTCGAAAGGATTTGTGGTGCATTTGGTTTATACCTTTTGTTTGGCGCGACTATCCCTAAATAGCCCATTGGTCTGGCATTGGGGCCACTCATTTGAAAAGTAACATCGGCAATGGTCTGAAATTTTACGAGGGATGGGCTGTAATGATTAGGCGACAGTCACTGTTACTGCGCGCTGTGGTATCAAACCACCCCGTTAAAATTCCCGCCATGTTTTAGCAGCTAGGCGGGAAACCAAGGACATCGCAGGGGGGTCGTTCGCGCTGGCGGGAATTATGCCTCGTCGCAGGGGGTCGCAAACCGTTTCCCGCCCAACCAACGAGGTCAACTCAAAGCGTTTCTGGCGGGGTTACCCTCGCTGTCGAACAGGGCCATCAAAATCAAGGACCCAAGAAAGTTGAGCATCTATGGATAACTGTTACGAGTGCAATTGAGTGAGGGAGCAAGAATTGCACTATCAAAACAAAACAGAACATTGAGCTAAGGCATGAGCAAAGAATATAAAGCAAAGCTAGCGTGGTAACGGTAATGCGAGAAATTGGGGTGCGCTACGGGCCTAGCGCCGAGGTTCGCAAATGTCGAGGCGGAGGTCCGGGGCGCATGTAACCAACCGAACCGTGAGGTTGGGTCGCGTCGTGAACAGTGGCGGAAACAGTGGTCGAGGCGAGTGTCGCGAGTGGTAACGGTGCACTGTTGGGTGCTGTTGGCTAGAACAGTGGTGCACGCGGTGAGCAGAGATTCGAAGTAAGGAAACGGGATTTTCCTTACACTACCCCCCATTCCCCCCCTAAAGGAGGCCCTTCTTATGAGAGTGCGTGTACATCTCGGAAATTTCTGTTCTCGATTCTATCCAGGAAGTATCCAATTGTCTTCAGTCGGTGTGCGGTCCATCCAGCGGATCAGAAATTCGACCCTCTCGTGGGTCACGGACTCGGTGGCTCAGTATCATTTCGGGCATGATGATTGGCTCTGTTGGTGGTCGTGTCATGCTCGTTGGGTGGTTCCGAGGTAGTTGGCTGGTGGATGGGACGTATGGGCGAATCAGGCTGGCGTGGAATGACGGGTTGACGTACCAGTCAGCGGGGAAGAGGAGATGGGCGGTGACAGGGGTGATCATGTGGCTAATGCGAAATGGCCTGCACTATCGGGGGCGGAGTTTTGGGGTGATGGGCAGACGGAGGTTCTGGGTATCGAGTAGAACAAGGTCGTCGGGCTGGTAAGTGACGGGGCGGGGGTGGCGATCGGCATTGTGTTTAGCGATGATGTTTGATTTTTTTATGTCAGAACTATATTGTAGGCTGTAGTGGGGCACTCCTTATGGGGTACAGTAGTATTAGGGTTTACTACTTGTACTCCTCATGCTGCTCAATGCATTCATTTTCCTCGTTCTTATTCTCATATGGTATTAGAGCAGAATCGTTCCTAGAGCCCACCGAACGTTCCGCCCTGCCCTAACTGAAAAATATTTTTTAGCTGCCCCTGCAGCCGGGCTGCCCTTGCAGCCCGCATGCTGCCCCTGCGACCGTGCTGCCCCTATAGCCGTGCCTGCCCCTGCAGCCGTGCCTGCCTCTGCAGCCAGTGGGAGCTGCCTCTGCAGCCCGCGCGCCGCCCTCCCGAGCAGCTCTGCCTGCCCCTGCAACCGTGCCTGCCCCTGCAGCCGTGCCTGCCTCTGCAGCCGTGCCTACCCCTGCAGCCCGTGGGCGCTGCCTCTGCAGCCGTGCTTGCCCCTGCAGCCCGTGGGCGCTGCCTCTGCAGCCGTGCCTGCCCCAGCAGCCCGTGGGTGCTGCCCCTGCAGCCGTGCCTGCCTCTGCAGCCCGTGGGAGCTGCTTCTGCAGCCCGCGCGCCGCCCTAAACCCTGCTCGTCGCGACGCCCCTGCGGGACCCGCGCGGCGTCCCCCCCCTGCTCGTCGCGGCGCCCCTTGGATGCCGCCCCTACTCATCGCGGCACCCCTTGGGCGTCGCCCTTACTCAACGCGGCGCCCCCCTTGAGCGTCGCCCCTGCGTGTCGCGGCGCCCCCTGGGCGCCGTCTCTGCTCGTCGCGGCGCCCCCGCGGCGTTGCCCTTACTCGCCGCGACGCCCACTGGGTGCCGTTTCTGCTCGTCGCGGCGCCCCCTGGGCGCCGTCCCTGCTCGTCGCGGAGCCCCCCCACCTGCAGCAGTCGCGGCCCCGCCCTGCAGCAGCTGCCGTGGAGCCCCCCTGCAGCAGTCGCAGCCCCGCCCTGCAGCAGCTGCCGCGGAGCC